GATATGAGTCGGAACCGACTCAACGGCCCCTAACAACAACAACAACAAAGAGAGATTAAGGCAAAAATAATTGAATAGTATCCATTGTATTTGAAAACTGGGATTCATAGGGACAGAAGTCAAATTGCGATGATAATAAGGGAATAAGTGATAAGTATGGGGAGACCAGAAATATAAACTGCTTTCTCAAGAACCTTGACTAGGAGAGGAAAGAGGGGATAGCTAAAGGAGATTTTAGGATTAAAGGGATGTTTTTAGGAATGGACAGCCTTGAGCATTTTTACAGAATTTCCAAAGTGCTGAACTAAAGTAGAAGTGGCCTGAAACTGCAGAAGTAGCATTTACAGATCTTGAAATAATAGCAGATCTTTCGTGTATTGGTGGCTAAATACGTTCATCTGCTTGTGACGAACTACCTCCACTTGTGCTCCTTAGGCTTTTGATGTTATTATTTGTGTTAGTTAAATAGGTACTGCCCACTGGGGCCAGGTCACAGAGCTGGACATGTGGTATCCTGCCGTCTACCACAAGTCTCCTGGTGTCCATGCTCACCTCCTGAGAAGACCACCCAGCCCCCTTGCTGGTGTTCTGCTCCCTCCTCACATCTGCTGTTTCATTTAAGACATCTCTTCCTGACGTCTTGCTTTAAGTTAGGCCCCTCGCCAAAAATGTAGGCAGTCAGGGTTTTCTGTGTTATTTGAGACTTAGAAGTTTATAGTATAGTGTTAATAGTCTGCATCCCTAGAATTATGCTGGATGTCAAACTGATAACAGTAGTGAGTCCTGGGAGAAGATAAGGATGGGGAGTAAGGGGAAAGGGGACAGTGGTCATGGGCTTTATTCATACGGCTTGCATTTTCTGAAATTAAAATTAAATTTAAAAAAGAATCATGCTACATAATCAAGTTTGAAAATTAAAACTCTGCCTTATCAGAGGTGATAATAGTGAAGTAAAGTAAATACAGTTTATTGAATATGTATTTCTTTCAACTTGTTACATTCCCTAGGAAAGATTCAGTTCTGGCCACATTCTGTGAGTTTATGGTTAGGTACCTGGCTCTGGAGGGACTCTGGAAGTCTACTTGCAGTTTAGCAGGGCCTGGGGGTTGATTTGAGGAGCCGTGGTGGCGCAGTGGTTAAGCATTCAGCTGCTAACCAGAAGATCCAGCAGTTCAAACCCCCCAGCCTCACCGTGGGAGAAAGATACGGCAGTCTGCTTCCGTGAAGATTTACAGCCTTGGAAACCCTATGGGGCAATTCTACTCTGTCCTGTGGGGTTGCTGTAAGTAGGAATCCACTCGACAGCAATAGGTTTTTTTGGGTTGATTTAATGAGAGCTTCACTGAACCTTCACCCCCTTTGTGAATCTCAAGACCAGTCTGGCTACTCTGGAAGACAATTGAGAAAATTGGAATAGTTCAAAATAGTTGACTGCTGCCACTATACATGATCAGATGGTAGGATTATGATATAGGTCTAAACATTTGAAAGTGATGTTTTGAAGGAATTTGCCATTATCCATACCTATGAAGGAAAATAGTACTGTAGATAACTCTAGTTGGATGATTCCAAATGTTGATTTTAGAGTTAATTTTTATGTTTATTTTGAGTATAAGCACTGCAGAGAAAGTAATGAAGCTGTTCTGTAAAAACGAGATTCAAGAGTGCTTAGAAAACTGCTCAGTTTCTCTCACCTGCCTATCTCTCTGCTTTAACTCCCCCACGCCCTTCACTGAATACCGGCAAGCATCTGGGACCACCTACCAAGCAGACAAAGGATCAAATTGTCCATTGTCTCCTTCTAAATGTGTCTGTTAAGATACGTACTATTGGAGGGTTGACGTTACATAACTGCAAGACTTACTGTAAAGCTGCAGTGATCAAGACAGTATAGTATTGCTGAAAGAATACACAGATCAGTGGAACAGAATACAGAGCCCCAAAATAGACCCACACAAATATAGTCAACTACAGTAATCTTTGACAAAGGAGCAAAAGCAGTTCAATTGAAAAAGTATAGTCTTTTCGAAAAATGGTGCTGGAAGAACTGAACATCGACATACAAAAAAAAAAAATGAATCTAAACACAGACCTTATACCTTTCACAAAAATTAACTCAGAATGGATCACAGACCTAAATGTAAAATGAAAAACTGTGATACTTCTAGACGATAACATGGGAGAAAATCTAGGTGACCTTGGGTTCGGTGATGACTTTTTAGATACAGCATCAGAAGCCTGATCTATGATGCACACCCATTCATTGGAGCACTATTCACAGTAGCAAAAAGGTAGAAACAACCTAAGTGTCCATCAACAGATGAATGGATAAACAAAGTGTGGTACATATGTAGAATGGAATACTACTCAGCCTTAAACAGAATTGAAGTCCTCATACATGCTACCACGTGGATGGACCTTGAAAACATTGTATTGAGTGAATTCAGTCAGTCACAAAAGGACAAATACTGTATGACCTCACTTACATGAAAAGACAAGAATAAGTTAACTATATAGACACCGTTGACTATTAGTGGTTACCTAGGGTGGGATGAAGGAGGGAGAGAGGGGCTAATTCTCTGGGAAGTAGTGGTTCTATGTTTATGGTCTATCTACGGTGATGGGAAAATGGGCATTGATTAAGGGTAATGGTTGCACAACTTGGCGAGTGTAACTGATATCACTAAATTCCACACCAGAAAAAGGGCAAAATGGCAAATATTTGTATTATTTCTAATTCTACAGCAGTAACAGCAAACTAAAACAAAACAGAGAGAGAGAGAGGTGAAAGTTGTTGTTAATACTTGCATACATTCAAACACCCAAACACCCCATGGGCTTAGTTCTTTGGTTTGAAGGTACAGGGTCATAGCTTTGTGGAATTGTCTAGTCATTTGGCTTAATACTGTTTTCAGAATTACTGTTCCACTCCCTAGTTCAGTGAGTAGTGCCTGGGGTCTTAAAAGACTGTGAGGGGCCATCCAAGATACAACAATCAGTCTCTATTCATCTGGAGCAGCAGAGGAAGAAGGAGACCTAGGAAGCAGAGACGGAACTGGACTGCAGGTCTAACTGCCACCATGAACTACTGCCTCCTTAGCCATGAGACCAGAAGAACTGGATGGTGCCCACCTACCATTACTGACTGTTCTCATGGAGGAAACAATAGATGAATCCTGATCCAAAGGGAATAAAATGTACAGCAGAATTTCAAATTCTTACAGAACCCAAACTTTACTGGTCCTGCTTAGACTGGAAGGAACTCCTGAAACTGTCACTCTGGGAAGTCTTTGAACCATGAACTAAAATTATCCCCTTAAATCGTCTTTAAACTAAACAACTATTGAGCTAAATTTAGTAAAGAACATTTGACATGAGCTTTGAGCTTTACACTATTTTAAAGAATTACTTACATGAGATAAAATTATCAACAGCAACTCTAAATCATAGGTGAGAAGTTTAGGGGTAAGTGAGTCTAAGCCAATGGTGGTGAAACAATATGAGCATAGATAGTGAGAATGGTGACACAAAATGAAGAATGTAACCAATGTTATTGAATTGTACGTGTAGAAACTGATTAATGGGTATGTGTTTTGTTATGTGTATTTTCACCAAAATGGCTGTCATTTCATACACGTACACACACATGCACAATTAAACAGTTCATCATTAAATAAATAGTTACTGTATTTATTAGCAACTTGCTATAATTCTGTTTGATTTTGTCATTCCAGACATTATGTGGGATTGGATTGGGGAGGGGCATGAATGGGACCAGGGGAACCAGTTAAGAGGCTCCCACAAGTGAGAAATGATGACCGCAATAGAAATGAATTTTGGGTGGATCTGAGATACATATTTTGAAAGCAGAAATGAGAAGACTTGCTGAGCCCTTATACAAGGATGCTGGTGTAGGGAGAGAAATCCAGGATGAATCTAGGATTTTAACCCGAGCACCTGGGTAGATAGTGGTGCTGTTAACAGCTGCTTGCCTTTATTGAGCGTGTGTGTGATGCCCTAACCTGCACTGTCGGCTGCTTCTTGCAAAGGGCTATACATGCATTATTTAATTTAATCATTATAATACCTCCTACTGTCTAGTTTTAAGCTTCAAGCAACACTGTGAGGAAGATGCTGTTATTGTTCCCAGTGTTAGATGAGAAAGTCATGGCCTTATGAGGTTAGGCCATTGGCCGAAGGGAGAGTAGCTGGTAAATGGAAGAGCTTGGATTCATACTGTTGGTGCTGTTAGGTGCCGTCCAGTTGGTTCCAGCCCATAGCAACCCCACATACAACAGAACAAAACTCTGCCCGGTCCTATGCCATCCTTACAGTGGTTGCAGCCACTGTGTCAATCCATCTCCTTGAGGGTCTTCCTCTTCTTCGCTGACCCTCTACTTTACCAAGCATGATGTCCTTCTCCAGGGACTGATCCCTCCTGATAACATGTCCAAGGTATGTGAGGTGACGTCTGCCAGTATTAAGTTTCCTAGGATTTGAAACAACAGAAGTTTATTGTCTCACAGTTCTGGAGGCTAGAAGACCAAAATAAGGGGGTTGACTTGTGTTGATTCCTTCTGAGGACTCTGAGGCAGAATCTGTTCCATGCCTCTCTCCTAGCTTCTGGTGGTTCCCAGCGGTCCTTGGTGTTCCTTGTCTTATAGATGCATGACTCCAATCTCTGTCTCTGTCTTCATGTGACTGTCTTCTCTCTGTATCTATCTCTGTGTCTCTTCTCCTCTTCTTATAACAATACCAGTTGTATTTGATTAGGACCTACCCTATTCCATTATGATCTTCTGTTAACTGATAATATCTTTAAAAAGCCTGTTTCCAAATAAGGTCACATTCACAAGTACCTGAGGTTAGGACGTCAAAATACCTTTTGGGGGATACATTTCAATCCATAACAGTGCTTGAATTCAGAGCTTGGGTGCCGCTGCTTCCCATAGCATCTTGTTATGAGTGTGCAGCTCATTGTGATTTTTCTCTCTTTTCAGGGTTTTGGTTTTTTGCACTGAATGTAGCCTAGACTCATCTTCACGGGCTTGTGTTGCCCCAGGATACTGTCACAGGTAAGTTTTTAAAAATTATATCCACCATGTATTGACAAAGAAACGAGAGTCTTCATCTTAAAAAAGAAAAATGTATATTCTGATGCTATTGCTCCTTTCCAGAGTTCTTATAGAAGAATATTTAAAGTGGCCATCACCTCAGCCCTTTGCTTCCCTACTTTGATTATACATGCACACTGGTCTCCTAAAAAGCACTTATATTTAGATTGAAGCCCTGGTGGTACATTGGTTAAGAGTTTGGCAGCCAACCAAAAGGTCAGCAGTTTGAATCCACCAGCTGCTCCTTGGAAACCCGATGGGGCAGTTCTGCACTGTCCTGTAGGGTAGCTGTGATTCGGAATCGACTCCACAGTCATGAGTGGTTTTGTATTTACGTTGATACTGACATTGAATTTGGTGCATCAACATATAAAGCTTGTTGTTATTGTTTTTAGATGCCTTAGAATAGGTTCTGATTCATAGCGACCCTGTGTACAACAGAATGAAACACTGCCCGGTCCTGCGCAATCCTCACAATCATTGTTATGTTTGAGCTCATTGTTACAACTCCTGTGCCTGTCTCCTTAATGGTCTTCCTCTTTTTCACTCACCTTCTACTTTATCAAGCTTGATGTCCTTCTCCAGGGACTGCTCCATCCTGATAACATGTCCAAAGTATGTAAGACATAGTCTAGCCATCCTTGCTTCTAAGAAGCATTGTGGTTGTACTTTTCCAAGACAGATTTGTTTGTTCTTTTGGCAGTCCATGGTATATTCAGTTTTCTTCTCCAGCACCACAGTTCAAAGGCATCATTTCTTTTTCAGTCTTCCTTATTCATCGTCCAGCTTTTGCATGCATATGATGCAATTGAAAATACTGTGGCTTGGGTCAGGCTCACCTTAGTCTTCAAGGTGACGTCTTTGCTTTTCAGCACTTTAAAGAGGTCTTTTGCAGCAGATTTGCCCAAAGCAGTTTGTCCTTTGATTTCTTGACTGCTGCTTCCATGGGCATTGATTGTGGATCCAAGTAAAATGAAATCCTTGACAACTTCAGTCTTTTGAGGATTTTTGTTTTCTTTATGTTGAGGTATAATCCATACTGAAGGCTGTAGTCTTCATCAGTAAGTGCTTCAAGTCCTCTTCACTTTCAGCAAGCAAGGTTGTATCATCTGCATAACGCAGGTTGTTAATGAGCCTTCCTCAATTCTCATGCAGCGTTTTTCTTCATATAATCGAGCCTCTTGGATTATTTGCTCAGCATACAGATTGAATAACCCTGACACATACGTTTCTTCAAACCACACAGTATCCCCTTGTTCTGTTCAAACGACTGCCTCTTGATCTAAGTACAGGTTCCTCATAAGCACAATTAAATGTTCTGGAATTCCCATTCTCCTCAGTGTTATATATAATTTGTTATGATTCACACAGTCGAATACTTTCGCATAGTCAATAAAACACAGGTAAACATCTTTCTGGTATTCTCTGCTTTCAGCCATGATCCATCTGACATCAGCGGTGTAATCCCTTGTCCCACGTCCTCTTCTGAATCCAGCTTGAATTTTTGACAGTTCCTTGTTGATGTTCTACTGCAACTGCTTTTGAATTATCTTTAGCCAAATTTTACTTGTGTGTGCTATTAATGATATTGTTTGATAATTTCTGCATTCTGTTGGATCACCTTTCTTTGGAATGGGTACATATATGGATCTCTTCCAGCCAGGTAGCTGTCTTCCAAATTTCTTGGCATAGACAAGTGAGCACCTCCAGCGTGGCATCTGTTTGTTGAAAGATCACAATTGGTATTCTGTCAATCCCTTGGAGCCTTGGTTTCCACCAGTGCCGTCAGTGCCGCTTGGACCTTTTCCTTCACTACAGTGGGTTCTTGATCATATGCTACCTCCTGAAATGGTTGAACGTCGACCAGTTCTTTTTGGTACAGTGACTCTGTGTGTTCCTTCCATCTTCTTTTGATGCCTTTTGCATCATTTAACATTTTCCCCGTGGAATTCCTCAATTGCGAAACTCGAGGCTTGAATTTTTTCCTCAGTTATTTCAGCTTGAGAAATGCCAAGCATATTCTTCCGTTTTGGTCTTCTAAATTCCAGGTCTTTGCACATGTCATTATAATACTTTACTTGTCTTCTCGAGCCACCCTTTGAAATCTTCTGTTTGGCTCTTTTACGTCATCGTTTCTTCCTTTTGTTTTAGCTACTCTATGTTAAAGAGCAACTTTCAGAATCTTTTCTGATATCCATTTTGGTCTTTTCTTTCTTTCCTGTCTTTTTAATTACTTCTTGCTTTCTTCATGTATGGAGCTACGACTGTTAACCAAAAGGTCGGTAGTTCAAATCCACCAGCTGCTCCTTGGAAACCCTATAGAGCAGTTCTACTCTGCCCTGTAGGGTCACTATGAGTTGGAATCGACTCGATGGCAATGGGTTTGGTTTGGTTTGTTCTTCATGTATGATGTCCTTGATATCATTCTGCAACTCTTCTGATCTTCAGTCATTAGTGTTCAGTGCATCAAATCTATTCTTGAGATGGTCTCGAAATTCAGGTGGGATAAGTCAAGGTTGTATTTTGGCTCTCATAGACTTGTTCTAATTTTCTTCAGCTTCAGCTTGAACTTGCATAGGAGCAATTGATGGTCTGTTCTGAAGTCGGCCCCTGGCCTTGTTCTGACTGATGATATTAAGCTCTTCCATAGTCTCTTTCCATAGATGTAGTTCATTTGATTCCTGTGTATTCTATCCATCGAGGTCCGTGTGTATAGTTGCCGTTCATGTTGTTGAAAAAAAGGTATTTGCAGTGAAGAAGTCATTGATCTTGCAAAATTCTATCATGTGATCTCCAGAGTCGTTTCTGTCACCAAAGCCATATTTTCCAACTACTGATCCCTTCTTCTTTGTTTCCTGCTTTTGCATTTCAATCACCTGTAATTATCAATATGTCTTGATTACATATTTGATCAATTATAGACTGCAGAAATAGGTAAAAATCTTCAATTTCTTCATTTTTTGTCTTAGTGATTGGCACATAAATTTGAATAATATTTGTATTAACTGGTCTTCCTTATAGGCGTATGGATATTATCCTATCACTGACAGCATTGTACTTCTGGATAGATCTTGAAATGTTCTTTTTGATGATGAACACGATGCCATTCCTCTTCAATTTGTCATTCCCGGCATAGTAGATCATGTCATTGTCTGATTCAGAATGGCCAGTACCAGAAGTTAGTTATTAGAAATTACAATTCCATAGTTTTATGTGAGTATATTCCCAGCTTCTGAGCCTCTGGTACTTCCCTGCTCCAGTTTGTAGCCCACATAAATGCCAGAGTGAGCTTTCAAAACTATAGATGTACTCATGTCACGCCTTTGCTTAAACAGTGCTCATGGCTCCAAGTTGCTACAGATGTTATCCTACAGACTCCTTCAAAACCTAATTCCAAACCACATTTCTGATGTCTTTTAATGATTCCTTATCTGTAATCCTTACCCAACCATTTTCTGTTTGCCAGATAGATCCTACTTTTTCACAGCTTTGTACCTTGGTCAATGCTTTTCTTCTTTCCTTAGAGTTTGGAAGAGGAGAGAGGAATGCAACTATCTATATGTTCTTTTTTTTTTTTTTTTTTTGGTATCTTTGCTATTGTCCCCTTCTCTAGGGAGCCTTGGGCAAAATTTCTTTTTCATCTGTGTTCTAAGAATGCCAACTATTATTACAGTAATAAAGCATTTATTATTTTGCATTATAGCTATTTACTTGTATCTGTCTTCTTTACTGTCTGTAAACCCTTTGAGGATCCTTGGAAAGGAGCTAACTTTTTTAGTGCCTCATGGCTGCTCCTGGACACCTTGCTAAGGGCTCTACATACATTATTTAGTTTAATCCTTATAACACCTCCTCCTGTCCAGTTTTATGGATGAAAATACTGAGGATTAGAAAGTTAAGTAACTTGTCTAAGATTACATAGCTAATAAATGATAGTGAATAATGATTCTGTGCCTTCAAAACCCAAGCTCATTCTACTGTTGTACCAGGGGAGGACAAGGCAGAGGGAGTAATATGAACAAAACATGAAAACCTGAGACAATCTGGCGTGTTTGCAAAGCTTTAAGTAGTTCATTGTGGCCAGAACAAAGGAAACACAGAGACCTGGCAGAGGAGGCTGGAGAGACAGGTGAGGGCTGGATCCTGGAGGGCTTTGAAAATAGGAATGTGTTTGCCAGCCTTTATAGAATTATGTTGTTGGCAAAGAATATTGAATGTACCATTGACTGCCAGAAGAACACATCGGTCGTGGAAGAAGTACAGCCAGAATACTCCTTAGAAGCAAGGATGGCGAGACTTCATCTCACATACTTTGAATGTGTTATCAGGAGGGACCAGTCCCTGCAGAAGGACATCATGCTTGGTAAAGTAGAGGGTCAGCAAAAGAGGAAGACTCTCAAGGAGATGGGTTGACAGCAGTGAGCTCAAGCATAGCAGGGATTGTGAGGATGGCGCAGGACTGGGCAGTGTTTCGTTCTGTGGTACATGGGGTCACTATGAGCTGAAACTGACTCTTTGGCACCTAACACACTCATAGAAGACCTGGCACAGATGCTGTATTACATTACTCCTGTTTAGTCAATAACATTTGTCCAGTCCTGTCCTCTGTGTCCTGAGCACTATGGTAGTCACGACTATCCATCACTTACCACATATGGTGAACTAGTGGCAGGTCTGAGGTGGAATGATGTGTTGAAGCAGAAATTAAATGCTTATGTTGTCAAATCATCAGATGACAGCTTTAGCACCACTGGTTCTCCTCTCCAGTTTATTTTCATCTAAATAGCAGTACTAGTCTGGGATAGACCTGCCTCCTAGAAGAGGGAAGGAACAGCAGGTACTCCCAAGAACAAGGGGAGAGGAAAGGGCTGGACTAGTCAAGCCCAGGGTCTCCTTCCATACTCGCTATTCATTTAAGTCACTTCACCCCTGACAGCATGAGTCAGAGGTGTGATGAGGACAGGAATATTAAACTAAGAGATGAAGCATCAAGAGTAGGGAGGAAAACTTCTAACATTCCCCAGCTTTTGTTGGTGAAGACATTGGTCTTAACCAGTGAGTCTAGGTCAGGGATATGCCTATCCTGTTTAGGGGAGAGGTGGTGAGTCAGAATAGTCCTGTCCTCACTTTTATGAGGACAATCCCCTACTCCCCCCACTGTTCTCAGGTATTCTCTTGGGACCATTGGTGGGCAAAATAGATATTGTCCCCAGAAGATTTTAAATGGATCACAACAGTATATAAATTATGTGAGCTCCAGGGATAAAATTATTTCAGCCCTGTCCCCACAACTACCAAATTCAGAAAGTAAGCCTACCTCCAGCCCAAGAGCAGTTATTTCTGGTAAAGTTATGTTCCCAGAACACAGAACTCAGACTTGCCAAAGACCGTAGCAAAAACTTACTGGTCTCTGAGGGAAGGAGGATAGGCGGAGGCTGTCTTGGTTTTACCCTCACCAAGATGCCAATTAGTCCATGCCAGTGTCCAGAACGCATGACTTGGAGGTTTGCACCCGATGTGGAAAAACCGCCCAGCAGGAGGTTAAATTTGGAACACTGCCTCTACCATATATGCAGAAAAATCTACCGATGCATACTGTCTTCTCTTTTAGAGATTAATATTTGAAACATTACTGCTTTTTTGCACCAAGCATTCACAGTGGTGGCAGCCCATTACCAAGTCTTATATGGGCTTCCTCTCCCTCTTTCTCCTGCTGTCTCCCCTTCCCTCCTCCCTTCCTTACTTATGTGAGGTAGAATCAGAAACCCCTTAATTTCCATTTCCCATTTGAATTGCCTATCTAGCCTAGCACAAACAATTTAAACCTAGTACTTCACCGGTTTTATAATGCATGTACTGTTTGAAATTCAGCTGCCTTGCAGTTTACATGCAGCAAATAATTGTTCCTCTCTCTATAGGCTACGAGGCCTGTATGAAGAGAGTCTCTTTTCCTTAAAGTCTAATCTTGGCCTCAGCAGTGCCTGCTTAGGAAAAGCTATTCCTGCGTAATTCAAGGTCAAACAGCAGCCTTCTGTAGGATGAAGCTGCTCAAGCCTGCTAATGCCCTCTTACCTTTGCTGAGGCCAGCACAGCTGGTATTTGCTTATTAGACCAGTGTGGCCCATGTACACCAAGGCCATCTGCACAGCTGATGTTTAACCAAACTTTCAATATCACCACCGCCACTGCCACCACCTATGGCTTGTTTATTACGAAACCCAGACCTGAAAGCCCCCAAGCCTTTGTTGAGGCTTATGTGCCTAGAGCATGCAGCCTTGTCTCTATACATATAGCCACTTACCTGAAGACAAAGTCGCCATAACTATAGTCACTTGTTGTTAGGTGCTGTCAAGTTGGTTCTAACTCACAGCAACTCTGTATAACAGAACAAAACATTTCTAGATCCTGTGCCATCCTTACAATCATTGCTATGCTTGAGCCCATCGTTGCAGCCACTGTGTCAGTCTATCTCCTTGAAGGTCTTCCTGTCTTTCCCTGACCCTCTAATTTACCAAGCATGATGTCCTTCTCCACGGACTGATCCCTCCTGATAACATGTCCAAAGTACGTGAGACAAAGTCTCACCATCCTTGCTTCTAAGGAGCATTCTGGCTGTACTTCTTCCAAGACAGATCTGTTCGTTCTTCTGGCAGTCCATGGTATATTCAGTATTCTTCACCAATACCGTAATTCAAAGGCATCAGTTCTTCTTCAGTCTTCCTTAACTGTGGGCCTATGATTTATAAGCCTGAAGCTGAACCTCAGTAGTTGAAAGCTAGGGCACAACTGTAAAAACTCACGTGGCCTAATGTAAACCTCTACAGACTGCTGAGGTCAAAACACTTTGCTCCCTCGCTAAAGTCCAAGGCCCAAAGTCCTATCCTCAACAGATGCTGCAAAAATTCCTCCTGGATTTTATGCCCTCGAATTTTCTGTTTTTCAAAATTCCAGACCCATGCACCAAATCTTAGGATCTTTGAAAGGCTCAGTAAATAGCACTCCTGTTCTCTTGCCTGAGTTCTACACCAATAGAGAAATAAAAGAGTATGAGAGCCCATCGCATCACCTCTATTACTAATAAAGCTGTATTGGAGAATGTGGCTTTTATCTACAGGCAAGTGAACGTCTGAACACCGAATCTCAGAATTCTACAAACTTACCTCATCACAGGTAGTTATGAGGTCCCCCCTCTGCCACATTTATGAATGCCAGAGGAGGAGAATGCTTGCTCCTTGGCGGCAGCTGGCTTCCAAAATGAAGAGAACCTTGCATATACCTTTTTTCTCCTTCCAAACTCACTTGTTTAGAAAGATCCTGTACCTCTGAGGTGGAGTATATGACCAGTGAAGAGGTGCCAGGAGTGAAACTGCAGGAGAAGGGAAGAAACATTCTTCTTTTATATAACACATTCAAGTGGAAATGGAGTAGAGACAAAAGGGAGAATAAGAATTAAGAGTCAAAGATGCTTTGTGAGTTGGCCATCAACGTGTACTTACTGAACACCTAGTATGTACAAATCTATTATCACTTAATCCTCAGAATAACTGTTATCCCCAAATTTCAATAGGGAAACTGAGACTCAGACAAATTAAGTAACTTTCTCAAGGTCTCACAACAAATAAGCACTCTGGTCTGTCCATCTCAGTTACAGCTACAAGTCTCTCCAGGATCCAGTCTCGGTTCCTTCCCCTTGCCCTTTTGGGGCTAGCAATGGTAAGGTCCCCACTGTGGCTATCTGCTGGGAGGTTCAGTGTCCTTTGTTAGCCTCCCTTAATTGTTTCTATTCCAACAAGTTGGAAAATTGAGGATTGGGGAAGTAGAGAAGGTGTAGGATTTGAATTGGGCTTTGAAGAATGGGTAGGATCTTGGGAAAAGATGATGGATTTAAGAAGTGTGTGTAGGCGCAACAGCCTTGGTTAAAGCCTTAAGGGTGGGGAGTAGGGGAGGACGGATGACAGTGGATACTTTGATACTCCCTCTTTGTTCACCCTCCCTCGCCACAACAGATGAGGAAACAGAAGTGCCTTTTGGCCTCAGTTCTTGTGGCAGGTTATTGGGAAGCCTTCTCGAGAACCAGACCACCAGGCTCCCCAAGCTGCTGCACTCATTAAGGGATTTCTTTGCACAAGAAAGGGATACTTATCAAGCACTTTAGCTTTTACATTTTGTAGCTAGTATACTTTTTAAAGTATTTGAAAAGTTTTAAAATAATCTTAACTGTCTTATAGTAGAGATTTGTTTTGTGTTTATTTGAGTAAGTATTCCTTAGCAATTACATGTTTAGTGAATTTATTTAAATGTTGCTAAATCTTTAGTTGTTTTCTTTGGGTACATTTTAATTCATAAAATTTTAACAAACTTTTGCTTGAATCATTTTATTCTTAGAGAAAAAAAATTACTTTTTATTGTCTTGCCCTATAAGCCTGTTCTCATATAAAAAGAAATTGACATTTAGTTTATTAAGCAAATTTTCTTAAAATAAAAGAAGTAGAATCAATCATTTTGAGTGCATCTTCATTTCATGTTATAAAATACCAAGAATGCTGAACACAAATTATAAACCCAAAATACCTAACCAATTCCAGTATCCTAGCCTAATATCCAGGCAGTTTGACCTGGAATGGCATAACAACTGGTCGACTTCTTTGCTTGGTTGGGTCCCTTCTTACAGGTCGGTGTCTGCTGTGTAAATTATTAATATTTTCAGTATCACCTCTGCCAAAAGCCAAATAAAATGGAGGAAAAAATCTAGAGCTATTTAATATCCCAAGAAGCCTTTCCTTACCATCCTCCTTCGCAAACGTGGGAAAATTCCTTCCCTCTCTCCCTTCTTCCTTCTTACCTATAAATATGTATATGTATATATATATGTATATATACATACAAACATATATACATGTATACATACCCACTTAAACACTGCTAAGTTACTTATTAAGGTAAATGTTTTACAGTATCTTTAGCCTCGGTGACAGAATTTCAATCTAAGTCTTTGAAAAAAACAAATTTTTGCACAGAATTAGATATATACCTTTTCTTATCTCTTTCAGGCAGTATTTGTGTGTTTCTGCGGAGTTTTGCACAGTCTACTCCCATGCAAACCAATGAGGGAGAAATATCGGAAGAAAGCAGCTCCAAGGTCAGTAACTTACTAAAGGTGCAAACTATTTGAGTAGAAATGAAACAGCAGAGGCAATGGATGAGTAGAGGGAGTGTTTTGTTTTAGGTGAATTTGGAAGTTAGAGTGATTTAAATTACAACCTAACCTAAGATTGAGGAGATTTTTTTTCTTCTGAAATATACATTTTTATTATTCTGTATGACAAATCTAAAACAAATTTTGCTGAATTCACAGAGAATGTTATGATTCATTTTTAAGAAGGCTAGCACTGTATCTTCTAAAATTGTATTATGAAAATTATATATTCATCTTATAAAAATTAAATCAAAAGTATATAAGGTAAAAAGTAAAAGCATCTCCTTTATTCTTGCTGCACAGAGACAGTCAACTGGTAATGTTTTAGACATTTTTCTGTTACAGACTGTAAAATGGTAATTTGTTCCATTTGGTTTTTCAAGCTAAAACCTATATATAAATAGCTGTCTATGCGTTTATCTGTGTCTCTGTTGATATCTGGCTCCATGCCCTGAATTTCCTTGGCCCTTACTCTGCCCTGTCTGTAGGATCTTTGGTAGCACCTTCCCTTCCCTCTTTCTCCACTCAAAATTGTCTCGGGTTGTTCCTGGGAGCTGCTGCATGAAGCAGCTCCAGCACCCACAGCATTATCTGCTGTCCTGAATCCACCTGAGGTCCTTTTCTGTTGCCACTGCTGTCGGTGCTCTCAGTGGGAGCCCTTATTCCTTCAGCAGAGCAAAAGTGGAGAGGTGTCGAAAGGTCACTGGGTTTCCATCAGGCCAGTCCTCACTGCCTGTTGGCCTCCTGTTGTGCTTCAGCAAGTGTCACAGAAGCCACACCCTCCCCAGCTCTGTTGCACTTTGTGAGCTGGGCCTCAGAGCAGCAGGCTTGTGTCCTCAGTCTCAGGGTTCCTCATGAAAACTGCCCTTTCTCTACAGGCTTGTGATCTGGTTCATGGATGCAGGGAGAGATACTGTTCAGTCCTCTTGTTTTTGTTTTTGTTTTTTTCCCATCTAACCAGATATCTTCTTTCTTTCAGTAGCCAAAACAGAAGCCTATAGACTGTTCAGGAGACTCATCTAGATCCTGAGTCTCACTTAGGGTTAGTCTCAACCTGTGAGATGCACAAACACACACATACTCTAGGAATCCCCCCTAAAAAACAAACACAGAGACATACACCCAGGCCACCCACGATACAAACGCACACACTCACGCACAAGATACACATGCCCCTCAGAATCCTAATTTATTAATCTATAATGAAATGTAATGTTAAAGACTGGATTCTTAGATCCTTTGGCTAGTACATTCTTTCCCTGGGAAGCTAAGTTAAAATTGGAAGATTGCTTGGCAAGCATGTAATTAGGCCAATATAAAATAATTTATTATGACGTAAGCTCAGTTTCCACTTTCTTTCTGGATTTTTTAATTACTGAACAGTATCAGTTTAGAATCAATTATATGAAAGAATAAAAGAACATTCTTTTTATACTTGCAGTAAGTAGATGCTTCTGTTTTCAGAAATTAGATCATAACCTCAACTCTGTCGGTCTTGGTTTAATTCAAGTTTTTATTTTATTTTTTCATTCTTATGTTTCTCTTTCTTTAAAACCTTATTATATTTGGAATGATTTGACCTTAATGCAAGATATTATTATAGTTAGTATTATGGTGGCATAATTTATGGATGCCTGTTAACAGAAATGGAGCCCTGGTGACGCAGTGGTTTAGAGCTTGGTTGCTAACCAAAATGTCGGCAGTTCTCATCCACCAGCCACTCCTTGGAAACTCTATAGGGCAGTTCTACTCTGTCCTGTAGGGTCGCTATCAGTTGGAATTGACTCAGAAACAAAAGGTTTGGTTTTTTGGTATTAATAGAAGTAAGTCAGGAAAGGTATCTGGTTTTGAGGAATGATTTTGACCTAAATTTATTCATTTTTTAATATAAATAATTCTTGAGTTACCTGTTATGTGCTGGACTCGGAATATAACAGTGAACCAAAAAGACATGGTCCCTACCCTCTCAAGGTGGTTACATTCTAGTGAGAGACACAAAATAAATAAACATAAATAAATTCAGTGATTACAGATTATGGTAAATACTATGAAGAAACAAATAAAATAATGTAATATAGGGAGACTGGGAGGACAAGCATAGGTTAGTCAAGGAAGGCGTCTCTGAGAAGATGACATTTTAGCTGTGGGCTAAAGGACAAGGCAGCCAGCTCTGTAAGGAACTGGAAGAACAGTGTTCTAGACAGAGGAAACAGCTGCAAACATTCTTGACCTCGTTCAAGAACTGTTGGAAGACCTGTGTGGCCATGTGGTGGTGTAAGGTTGGAGAGGGAGGAAGAGTCCTTGCAGGGCCTTGAAGTGCATGGTACAGAGTATAGATTTCTTCTACATACACTAGGAAGCTATGGAAGGCTGTTAAGTTGGGGAGTAACTTGATATGATTTGCATTTTTAAAAGATCATTCTGGCTGCTGTGTGGAGAATGGATTGGAGAGGGGCAAAAGTGGAAGCAGGGAGACCAGTGAGAAGGCAGTGGTAGTTGCTCAGGTGAGAGAGAAGATGGTGGGCTAGATCAGTGTGGTGACATTGGAAATGGAGAAAAGGCAGACTTGAGGTGTATTTTGGAAGTAAAACTGACGTGTCTTGCAGATGAATTGGAATACTTTTGTATCACAGAAATTAAGAAGGGAATTTCAAAAAAAAGGGGTGATCAGTAATGTCAGATGCTGCCAAAAAGTTAAGGAGCGCAATAATTGAGAAAAGTTAACTGGATTTGTTTTGTTAAGAATGAATTAAAGAGGAGGGACAATTCTGGGGGAGATGGAGATGTTCGTTATCTGCTAAGGGCATAGGTTACACAGGTGAATCTATTTGCCACAATTGTGCCGCAAAAATTTGTGTATTATGATGTTTGTACATTTTTTACCTGAAAACATTGTAAACTAATAATAATCTAATAGGGGTGGAGAATGGGCCTTATAGATGAAACAGGAATGGCAGAATGTCAATAACCGTTAAAGCTAGGTGATAGGCATATAGGGGTTCATTTATACTATTCTGTTTATTATATGTTGGAAAATTTTCCATAATTAAAAAAGAATTTTAAAAAGCTTCTTAGTGGTGTTTAAAGAGTGCCATTTCATTAGAGTGAGAAGAGAAGAAACCAAATTTTATGAGTTAAAGAGAAATTAAATGGTAAACAAGTAAGAGCTGTGGCTTTAGTCTGTCACTCAATTTTAGGAAATTTGGAAGTAAATGGAGGAGAGAAGTAGAACAGCAGTGAGGAGGAGGAATTTTGGTGTTTTTTTTTTTTTTTTTTAATGGAGGAGGCCTATGCATGTTTGAGAAAAGAAGGAAGAAATTAGTGGAGGATGATCAGAGCCACAATAGATGGATCCTCATAGAACAGGAGAAAAATGTGGAACAGAACTCAAAAAGTCCAGACTTACTGGACTGGTTGAGACTAGAAGACTCCCCGAGACTATCACCCTAAGATACTTTTTAAACCTTAACTGAAATTATCCCTTGAGGTCACCTTTCTGGCTAAATAACAGATTGACTCATAAAGAATATCACCCGTGAGTAATGAACTTCTTTAAAAAATCATCTGTATGAGACCAAATGGTCAAAAATTACTCTAAAGCAAAGATGAGAAGGTAAGGGGACAGGGAAACTAGAGTACTGGAAATGGTAGAACCAGAAAGGAGAATGAATGAGACTGATGACACATTGTGAAAAATGTAACAATATCACTGAATAATTTGGGCAGAAATTGTTACATGGGAACCTAATTTGCTGTGTAAACTTTCACCTTAAACACAATAAAATACTGTTTTTCAAAAAAGAAATAAACATCTTGCATTCTCTGCCCCCCCCCCAAAAAAAAAATTAGTAGAGGAAGGCAAAGTGTACAGTTATGAAAAGGGTTCATCAGATTTGTGAGCCTAAAGGAACTTGGGGATCGGTGAGTCCAGCCCCCTTTGGCCACAGTTAGTGACTCAGCTTGTGCCTGAATCCTCCTCTTCTGACTCCTGGTTTGTGGTAGAAGATATTTGAAAGAGGAAAGAAAAAAAGTGGAGTTCAGGCTTTTCTTTGTATTGCCTCTGAAATAGAAGTCATACTTTTTTTTAAAAAAAAAATTTTTTTTTATTGTACTTTAGATGAAAGTTTACAGAACAGATAGTTTCTTATTAAACAGTACACATACTGTTTTATGACATTAGTTAACAACCCCACGACATGTCAGCACTCTCCCTTCTCGACCTTGGGTTCCCTATTACCAGCTTTCCTGTCCCCTCCTGCCTTCTAGTCCTTGTCCTGAGCTGTTGTGCCCCATTAGTCTTGTTTTGTTTTAAGGGCCTGTCTAATCTTTGGCTAAAGGGTGAACCTTGGGAGTGACTTCATTATTGAGCTACAAGGTTATCTGGAGGCTATATTCTCAGGGTTTATCCAGTCTCTGTTAGGTCAGAAAGTCTGGTCTTTTTTTGTGAGTTAGAATTTTATTCTACGTTTTTCTCCAGCTCTGTCCCGGACCCTCTCTTGTGATCCCTGTCAGAGCAGTCAGTGATGGTAGCCTGGCATCATCTAGTTGTACTGGACTCAGTCTGCTGGAGGCCATGGTAGAGAAGTCATTCTTATTTGGAGAGTTTAGAGTGCAAGATTGGGGACTTAAAATGACAAATTTGATGGCCTGTTGGGGGCAGGGGGAGTTTGGGGCTGCCAGAAACAAAAACAAATCAGTCTTACAAGAAATACAACTGGAATGCTCCTTATAAACAAGTATGGTGAGACTTTGGCTCTCTTACTTTGACACGTCTTGAGGAAAGACCAGTTGCTAGAAAAGGACATAATGTTTGATAAAGTTAGAAGAAGGTCAGCAAAAATTAGGAAACCCTCATGAGTTGAATTAACACAGTAACTGCAACAATGGGCTCAAACATATCAACGATCATGGAGTTGGTACAGGACCAGGCAACTTTTATGTTC